TTTAAAATATGGTTCTTTCACTGCTTTCCTCAACTTCTTTATTAATGGTTATGCAGGATGGTTAGATGGGAGAACACGTTAGGAGTAACACCATGTTGTTCACAGATTACTGTGATAATGCAAAAAGATTGTGAAGCCTGAAAGAAAACTGTATTCTGTGTGATACAGAGTTTCCTAAGGGCAAATATGCTTTTTTCCCCTTGTTATGTCTGTAGCTGTTAGATAAATGTTGTCTGACCATGTTTTTAGTTCATTCTGCTCCATTTTTTCACTTACAATTTGCATAGTAGATTCTGTTCTTTTACATTTATTTCAAAAATACTGTATTGAAGTGTAGAAACGTAAATGTTCTCATCCTGACTTACAGCCTAAGCAACTGAGCACACTAAATAAAAAGCTCCCTTCGCAGCAGCTATATTTTGTGGGTATTATGCAAGATGTTCTGTGCTTTGATATAACAGCTCTTAAAGAAAGTGTATTGCAACATGAATTTATAGCAAAACTTTATGCACTTAGTCTGGTAAAACATGTTGGGAGTGGGGAAGAGAGCAAGCTGTTGTAAACTCCTATAAAGTACAGAAAACTTTTACTTTCCCTCCTTTCTAACAAGTGTAAACTATTGAGGCTAAGTAGGTGGGGCAACCAGAAGTAATTACTAAGGCCAGTGGCATTTTTGCGGTTTAATAAAGGCAGAAACTAATTATTCAGTTTTTATTTAAGTGAAATGATGCCAAAAAGGAGGTTCCTGCAGGGCAGCTGCACCCCTTCAGTGTTACCCTAATTTACCACAGACACAACTGTCACAAACAGAACTTTTAAACTTGATATATAGCCACGAAAGTAAGGAGCCCTTTGTCTGGAGTGCATGCAGAAGAACTCTTTTATACAAATCAACCCGCAGATGACAGACAATGATGAAAATTTGATTCTTTGAAGTCATAATGTTCATTGAAATGTGTGAAATTCTGGTATTGAAAAGAGAGCGGCTAGCAAGACTCTAAATCCTGGGTGGTTGCTGGAAGCTTGCTGGGAGGTTTTTCTGTGTTTTGACATCAACTTCCCATTGCTTGTTCCCTGTTTCCTTTATTAAAAAAAAAGACTGGGGGATGCTAAACAGTAGATGGTTGATAGTGGTTATGTACAGTTTTTGTCTATGCGTGGAAAGAAATGTCATAGGAGAAACATGACACCTTTATGCACACCTGACCCATCTATTCAAAAACACTTGTTTTCAGAGACACTTTCAATCCTTTTGTCTCTTTCCC